AAAAAGAGAAGAAGAGAGGCTGGCAAAGCAATGGTGGGGGAAGTTTCTGAGGATCCTGTTAAGGATGAGGCTTTTGAGAAATGGGAGCCGCCAATGTCGCATGAGGGCAGGCCCATTTCCACTTCTGATTCAGTTGTCGCTTCACAAGATTTTGCCTTTGATTTGATTAAGTTTTTGTTGTTGCTGATTGACATGGCTGACCATAATGGGCCCCGTGATATTCCAATCCTGAAGGGGACCCTTCAGATGATGATTGCTGTAAGTGTTTCCTCGTTTTACTTGTCTTCATTGTTGCGTTGCTGTCTCCTTTTCTCTTAATTCTTTGTTGTCCTTTGCAGTGTATCCAGAGAATGCATTTGTCCACTACCTGTGCTGAAGAGCTAGAAAGGGCCGTGCTGGAGGCCGCAATGAACGCTGAGAGACTGACGATAAGCTTGGAGACAGAGAAGGAAGGACGCCGAATCGCGGAGAGGGAAGCATTTCGTTTGAACAAGATTGTTGCTTCAGCTGAAAAATCGAAGGAGGCTGCTATTGGGACACAAGCTCAACTCGAGGGGAAGGTGGCCGAACTGGAGGCCGTTATTGCCGTAATGGCTGCCGAGCATTTTGCGCTGGAAGCCAAACACTGGTAATAGGGTTGGGATGAAGCTGGGGCGCCTATAAGGAAGAGGTGCTAGTGCTGCGACATAAGCTCTTTCTAAAGGGTTGGACGAGTGCTTTGGCTGCTACGCTGGTTCCTGAAAGCTCTTCTCTGTTTCAGGATGTCCCCGTTCCTTCGAGGTCTTTGGGTTCGAAGACTGTTTCCATCCCTGCTATTCTTCCAGCCGCAGTTTCCCCAGAAGCTGATACTGCAAGCAAGACCCATAACAGTAATGTTGCCGCTGAAACGATGGATGTTGAAGGGATTGAAACCCTGGGGACCGAAGCCATGGGGGATATGGTTAAGGAGGCTTCTACTTCTCAGGAAGTTGGAACTGCCTCTACTTTTCCTCCCGTAGACGGCCTGGACAAAATTGTTGATGCTGCTCCTGAGTTGCCCTCTGTTAATGAAAATTGATGTTGAAAGGATTTGAACTTTTTACTTTTCTGTTTTGATGTATTGTGGCTCGGTCTCCATGACGAGCTTTCTTTCTGCACTTGCCAAGACAATTTTTCTTTTCTCTTTTGTTTTCTTTGCTGCTGGTTATGGGGTCATCTACGCCTTTTGTTGGATGGTAGAATTTTCTCTTTGACCTTGCAATCTGATGCTGTTTGGCTTTTATGTCTGAATGTTTTCTATACTGCCTGCCCTCGACCGAGCACTGTTGGGACCTCAGGGCCGAATAGATGCTCGGTCTGGTTCTGTACTACTTTCAAATGGATGCTCTATCTGATTCTGTACTGCTTGCCCCCGACCGAGCATTGTTGGGGCCTCGAGGCCGAACTGATACTCGGTGTGGCTTTGAACTGTTTGCCCCCGGCCGAGCACTATTGGGACCTCTGGGCCGAACTGATGCTCGGTGTGGCTAACGGATATGTGGTATGGCTGTGCTTGAGTTCGTAAGTGGGTTTTACTTAGGTCCAGGTTGGTTCTTCTAAAAAACAATTGTTTGCCCCCACCTGGAGCTAAGTAAGATCGGTATTGAAGATTGTGCCCTTGGGTAGAACTGCTTAAGTCTGTTGCAACTTTGATAGCATAAGAGCATTTGAATACGATAAAGGCATGAAGAGGTGTCTTACTCAAGTCCAGGTTGGTTTTGAAAAAACAATTGTTTGCCCCCACCTGGAGTTGAGTAAGACTAATGTTGGAAGTTTACTCTTGACAAAACCTGGTCATGCTTTTTCCAACTCTGTTTGTTTGAGTCAGTACTGAAGTGTTGACGTATTGGTACTTAAGGAGTTCTGTGGATTCAAAGACGTTTACTTAAGATATATTAGTGTGGTTTCCACCAAGCAATTCCACTTGGCTAAAGTCCAATTTAGTTACCAAACATTATTCCACCAAGCAATACCACTTAGCATGTTTGAGTGCTAACCAAATTCATATTCCGTCCAGTCGTTTTGAAACTAAGTCCATTTGGGCGAAGACCAAAGTTGATTCCGTTTGATAAACATCAAAGCTAATTCCGTTTGGTGAGGACCGAAGCTAGTTCCATTTGATAAACATCAAAGCTAATTCCGTTTGGTGAGGACCAAAGCTAGTTCCGTTTGATAAACATCAAAGCTAATTCCGTTTGGTAAGAACCAAAGCTAATTCCGCTTGATAAGCATCAAAGCTAATTCCGTTTGGTAAGACCCAAGGCTAATTCCGTTTGATAAACATCAAAGCTAATTACAAGAATTTGATAAATTTGAAAGAAGTGGAGAAGCATTTGCATTGGTCAACAGATAAATGCCTTTACATTCTGATAGAGAAGGTAGGGGATAATTCTATTGATAATATTTCTTGAGATTTGCTATATTCCAGGGCCGAGGTATGGCTCTTCCTTTCAGATCCTCTAGGTAGTAAGCTCCGTTTCCAATAGCGACTGTGACTTTGTACAGGCCCTCCCAGTTAGGCCCAAGTTTGCCCTCGCCTGGTACCCTTTTATGGTCCATAACTTTCCTCAAAACCAGTTCCCCAGGTTTAAATTGCCTTAGGAAAACTTTTTGATTGAAACTTCTGATGAGCTGCTGCTGATACGCTTCAAGTCTGATCAGCGCTGCTTCTCTTCGGCCCTCTGCCATATCTAGTGCTTGTGCAATAGCTTCCTCGTTACTGGAGCTCTCAAATAATTCAGACCGAAGGGTTAGGAGACTTATTTCGAGTGGGATGATGGTCTCCATTCCATAAGTTAGGGAGTAACGTGTTTCTCCCGTCGAACGTCGTGTTATGGTTTGGTAGGCCCATAATACGTGGGGTAACTCTTCAACCCATTTGCCTTTTGCATGTTCAAGCCACTTCTTTACTCCGTTGATGATGGTTTTGTTTGACGCTTCTGCCTGTCCATTACTCTATGGGTACCCTGGAGAGGAGTTCCTATACTCGATTCTGAGGTCGGCACAAAACTTTCTGAAGACCTTACCATCGAACTGTGTTCCATTATCCGCAATTAGTATCCACGGAATGCCAAAACGCACCACCACATTCCTCAAAACAAACTGCTTTGTGTCCGCCTCTTTGATACTTGCCAGCGCCTCAACTTCAACCCACTTAGTGAAATAGTTAGTTGCAGCAATGAAGAATCGCATGTTCCCAGTGCCTCGCGCCAATGGTCCGACAATATCCAGACCCCATTACGCAAAGGGCCATGGGCTGGTAAATGAAGTGAGAGTTTTGGCTGGCTGATGAATGAGCGGAGCAAACCTCTAACATTTGTCACATTTCTGTACGTACTGCTGAGCATCTTGTTGCATCTGTGGCTACCAATACCCGTGAGTGAGGGCTCGGTGCGCCAGCGACCTTCCGCCAACGTGGCATCCACAAATCCCATCGTGAATTTCGTAGAGAACATTCTCGACCAGATTTGGATGCACACATAGAAGATAAGGGCCGAGATAGGAGCGTCTGTATAGCTTCCTGAATGGTGAGATCCTAAACCGAGCTGACCTATGTCTGATTTTGTTGGCTTCTTTTTTGTCTTCGGGGAGAGTACTAGATTTTAGAAAAGCAAATATTGGATCCATCCAGCTCGGCTCTAAGTTGTTACAGAGGACTGGAGATGCAATACTTGGTTCTGGCACAAACTCAACCCAAACTTTTCTGGCATCCTTTGTATCCACTGATGAGCTGAGGCATGCCAGAGCATCAGCGTGGCTGTTTTTGTCCCGACTGATTCGTTCCACTCATATGGATTGAAATTTTCTAAGCAGATCCTTGGCCTTGCCTGTGTACATAGCCATTCTTTCATCTCGTGATTCATAGACCCCAAAAAGCTGGTTTACCACTAGTTGTGAATCACTGAAAACAAGAAGTTGTTCTGCACTGAAGTGTTCGGCGCTACGTAAGCCAGCCAACAACGCTGCGTACTCGGTCTCGTTGTTTGAAGCCTTTTAACCGAGCCTGAGAGCCTGTTCCCAGATAAACCTTTCTGGTGAAATAAGTACTACTCCTGCCCCCGAGCCTCGGTTATTGGATGATCTATCAACATAGAGCTGCCAGATGATTCCAATAAAGAGTTTCCATGCTTCCGAAGCACAGGGTTTTACCTGTTCGGTGGTGCATGGCACCTGTGCCAAACTCGGATCCCCCGGTTCGGTACTCTGGATGAAAGCAAATTTTGCGACAAAGTTCACTAAGACCTGAGCCTTAATTGCTGTCCTGGGTTGATACCGAATGTCAAACTCACCAAGTTCTACCGCCCACTTTGCTGTTTGGCCAGAGAAATCGGCTCGGCTGAACATAGATCTGAGGGGGAATTCAGTGAGGACGTTAATGGTATGCCTCTGGAAGTAATGTTGTAATTTTCTCAAAACGATAAGCAGCGCGTAAGCTAACTTTTCCAATGGTAGATACCGTGTCTCGGCGTCTAGTAAAGTCTTGCTAACGTAGTATACAAGCCTCTGTTCCTTGTTAACTTCTCGAATTAACACTGCCCTTACGGCATGATTCGAGACTGCTAGATAGAGGTACAGCTCCTCTCCTGGCTCTAGAGTGGATAGTAGAGGAGGTGTGTTGAGGTATCTTTTGAGACTCTACAGTGCTTCGGTACATTCGCTATTCCATTCAAATGCTGCCTTTTTCCTCAAAAGCTAGAATAAGGGCTTCATCTGATCTGAGGATTTGCTAGTAAACCGATTCAGTGCGGCTGCCATTCCGGCTAGTTTCTGCAGCTCCTGATTGCTCTTGAAGCCAGGAGCTTTTCGACTTCGGCAATTACTGCTTCGGTGTGCTCGACTGAGGAGCTCCCACTTTTTTGCACAATGGGCCGAGCTGAAGGGTTGACGTTGAGCTTGTGGCAAGCAAATTCTAGGTCCAACCCGGGAGTATCATATGCTGACCATGCGAATACCTCCATATTTTCCCTCAGCAGTTCCAGCAGCTAAAGTTTCTCATCAGCGCCTAGCGAGGTGCCGATAAGGAAGTATTTTTCTGGGTCGTCTTCTTTTACCAAGACTTTCTCCAAATCCTCTACCATCTTTTCCTCTGGGGTTCCTCCTACATCTTCCAAGACTGGCTGTTCGGCCACTTCTACCGTCTGTACCCGATTGCAGAGCTGCTTTGCCTTTAATGCTGCCATGAAGCAATGTTTGGACGCAACTTGATCCCCTGAGATCTGCTCTACTCCGTGTTCCATTGGGAAACGGATGAGCTGGTGGTAGGTTGAAGGGACTGTTTCCATTTGATGAATCCATGGGCGGCCAAGTATGGCGTTGTAAGGAGATGGTGTATTAATAACCAAGAACTCTATCTGGAGGGTTTTTGTTCCCGCCACGACTGGCAATACTATTCTACCAAACGGCCATTTTGGCTGTGAATTGAAACTGACCAACGGGGCTGTCACTGGGGTGAGGTACTGCTCGGAGAGACCAAGCTTTCTGAACAAATCATAATACAATATGTCTGCTGCACTGCCTTGATCTACTAGGACTCGTTTTACGTCAAATGGTTTCCTAATTCCCATAGTTATAATCAGTGCATCAGTATGTGGGTGCTGTATGCTTTCTAAATCTTTGCTAGTAAATGAAACAATGCACAAGGGGGATTTAGGTATTGTACGTTCCTTTTTCGATGCAGGCTCCACTGACACGACCCTCTGAATTTGCACAGCCTTAGTGATTTCTTCTTTCAGTGCCTCATTAGATTCCTGAGTCGCTGTCCTGTGGATCACATTTATTATCAACCGAGGTGGGTGCTCGATATTCGGTTCTAGTGGCGGGTTCCCCAGTTCGGTCACTTCCTTATCCTGATCAAGGCAATCCCTTAGGTGCCCGGCTGCCACTAGATCTTCCAAGTGTTGCTTCAGTGCTCTGCAGTTCTGAGTCATATGCCCCCTGTCTTGGTGGTAGGTGCATCTGAGCTTCTGATTGCGCCGAGCTGGATCTACCAACATTTTCGGCAGCCAAACAAAGAAGGGCTCTCTCTTGATCTTTTCCAGGATTCAATAGATTGGCTCTTTGAATACAGTCACAATGGCTTCGTGGGATTTGGACTTATCCACTTCATTCACTACAATCCCTCGGTGTTGTAGACACCCAATTTTTGACCGTCCTCAAGACTTAGACGTCATCGTTTGAACACTCGATGATCACCTATGTTTGTGTTCGTCTTGAGTTCTCGGAGGTTTTGGCTACGCGCCTTGCCTCAAGACCTCTCGACTTGTTTGTTTTGTGTTTAGTTTTGCACCAAACACTTGTTGTTTTGCTTCTGAGGGTGGGAAATAGCTTGTTGGCCATCCCCACACCTCACCGGCCATGGCCTGAGGCCATCGGCCCTGTTTTCTTGCTGCCGGCCAAAAGTGTTGGCCGGTGGGCAATGTTTTTGGTCGACTGGCCATTGTTTTGATCAATCGGCCACTTTTTCTGGCCGAGACCTTTTCTTGAGGAGGTTTGAACTTTTTGAACCCTTGGTTTTAGCTTCTTGAGGAAGTTTGAACCTTTTGAACCCTTGGTTTTAGCTTCTTGAGGAAGCTTGAACTTTTTGAATCTTTGTTTTAGCTTCTCCAAGAAGCTTGGACCTTTTTAGCTTCTCCAAGAAGCTTGACCCTTTTGTTTTGGCTTCTTAGAGAAGCTTGAACCCTTTGCTTAGCTTCTTGAGGAAGCTTGACCCCTTTGCTCTAGCTTTCTTAAGAAGCTTGGCCCTTTTGCTACAAGCTTCTAAGAGAAGCTTGACCCCTTTGCTGAGAAGCTTGGACCTTTGTTCCTCTATAAAAGAAGAGATCCTCTTTCATTGCAAGGGTTGAAAAAAAAATGGTCTAAGGCACAAGAGTTGTATCTCTCTCTATGTCCATATTTTGAGCTCCAAAAGTGTTGGTTCTTGACCCTTTTGCACCACACCTCATAGCCACACACCTCCACCACTCATCTAAGGTCCTTGGAGGCCAATTTCAGAGGTTGAAGGTCTAATTTTTTGGTCTCAAAGCTGCTGGTTTTGCTGGAACTACAAGGGTAACACATTTTACCCTATTTTGGTCTTTATTTTTCTTCATCTTTTATCCATACTTGCAAGAATTTTCGAGCTTTGTCATAAACTGAAAAAAGTCTTATTTTGAGCTCCTTTTGAAGTTTGTTTAAGACCACTTTTGTGTTTGGGGTTGTCTACCCCCTCTTAGGCCATGTTTGGCCTCATTTTTGTGTTGGATTTCAGTGGTGGGGATGATATTTTGAGGTCCTACGAAGGAGAGGGCCATCCCCTCTCCTTATTGTCTTGTTTACTTGCATTTTTGACCTTACAAAGGAGCCCATATTTGCATGCATCCCAAGCTTGGTTCAAGCCCTTTTTGGTGAGTTTTAGGACCTGCATAAGCTCTCTCCAGAGCTGGTTTTGCCATATTAGATGTCCTTCTTGCGTGTGTAGAACAACTTATTTCATGGCCTTTCAAAGGAGCACCTCATTCTTGCATGTATTAGACACATTTTAGTGGGTATTTGGTCATATTTTGGCATGCCACGAATCTGTTTTTGGCAGGTTTGGTGGTCTCTCATATGCTCCATAGGCTTGTAGTGTAAACCATGCTTACTAGCTTACATTGCATGTTGTTTTGGCGAACAATGCTACAAACCCCCAGTGGGGGTCTGACCCCCAGTGACGTGGTGCGGCCTCATTGGCTGAAAAAAAAAAAACAGTTTTTTTTTTCCGCCCAATCAGGGCCCTACACGCATGACCCCCAGCACCCCCACTGGGGGTCGGAGGCATTTTCTTATTTTGGCCCTCTATTCTAGCATATTTTGGCCATGCCTTAAACTTATTTTGTGCATGTTTTGGACTGCCTTAGCTCTATTTTTATGTCCCATGGTCGAATGGTACTTGCCATGTATGCTTGTAGTGTAATAGCCATGCCTAGTCTTGAGTTTTGAAGCCTATTGCATGCTTATATTGAGGTGTTTGCATATTTTGGCATCACTGGGTATGATATTTCAGAGCTTATACTTGTGCCATACTCCCATGTTTTCCATGCTTTAAGTGCTATTGAGAGTTGTGCTTGTATGCCATGTTACAATGTGTTGTGCATGTTATGTTGTTAGCATTGTGTATGCCATGTCACTACTTGCATTGTGTATGCTAGGTGGTTAGTTGCATTGAGCATGCCATAGTTCATATAGCATTGTGTGTGCCATATAGTCCATAGCATTGTGTATGCTAGGTTATATGTTTGCATATTTAGGTTGTATGCATATTGCATATTGCTTGCTAGCATACTCATTTGCATTAGTTTGTTTACATGCTTAAGTTGCATAGCATTGAGCATGCATCCCTTGCCTCTTGATCAATTATGATAGAGGTTGGAGCCTTTTATGTGTTTTGTGCATTTCATTCCATATTAAATTGCACACTTGACTCTTTAGTCATCATGCATGGAAATGCGTGATTGGTGGCCCGAGAATCGAGTACCATACTCCCTTGAGTCTTAAACATGATAGGAAGGGTGGTTGTGCATACATTGCTTTGAAAATGCATTGCCATGCTCTGTTTTCCCTTTGCTACTGTCAAATAGAATTCTGCAGGAAGAGATGGCCAGTCGGCCATCTTCAGCGCCGGCCGGCTATCCATTATTGGTCGAGAGCCTCACAACTGGTCGATGACCACTTTTCCATGGCCGGTGACCATTCCTCTTGGCCGGTGACCTCCCATAGTGTTCAGGGAGTGTTCCAGAACCGACCTTGGGGCTCATGCAATTTTCAGAGTCATAAAGCAGTACAAACAGAGGCAACTGTGGCATAGCGATGGATTTCCTAGCGGAGCCGAGCATGCATACATTCATCCCTCTTCCCGAGGCTATTTTACTACTTTCAGTAGCTTAATTAATTTGTCAATTAGTTAGGTAGTTTTGTAATTAATTAATTAGCTTGTTAGTTGATTAATTTGTATTATTCATTCGGTCCCTCCGAGAGAGGGCAAATTCTGTAATAAGCGTGCGTGTGTGTGAAGCATGTCTTCTAACCCCCACTTCTTTCTCCCTTTTATTTACTAGCTTATGATGGTTAGTTTAGGGCATGTTTCAATTAGCATACTTATGCTCGCATGTTTGCATTCATTCATTTGTCTTGCATGCACCGGGCTCAGCGCATCATGCTAACTGCATTGTATTTCAATTCTAAATTGAATACATGTTATCTGTTGCATCTTATATGCCATCTTAGAGTAGCCGAGCCTATCTTAAGTTGTATTTTTGCATGTGTTGCATTAGGCATCTCAGCATAGTTAGGATTCATGCATGATTTCTAATTAGCTTCTCTTTTGGCTTGGAGTACTCGGTAAGCTTTCATGCTTTAGCGTCCTTGCATGTGTGTGCGTGATTGCCATGATAGCATGCTTACCATGAGGCTATGCGCTTATGTGATATAACTGCCTGAATGCCTGTGGGTGAAGGTTGGGTTGCTTGAGCTGGAATAATTCGTCGAAACCCGTATTTTAGCCTACTTGCGAGTAGCAAACTTCAATCCATTTTTCAAAACAAATGGATATACGATGCTTTGTTCCAACTTAGGCAATCCAGTCTATACTTGCATGCTGTGCGCATCACGTAGTAATTTTCGGCTAATAAACCGGAATAAGAGCATATAATGTTTTCAAAAAATCGATATCATGGTTAGTAGAGGCCGATCTTTGATCGGACGAGCGGGGGTGCTCATAGCTGACCTTCCCCAATTGTACCCAAGTTCTCGAGCCGAGGCAACTTTGGTGATGACGGACACGTGGCCTTAGGCAACGAGTCAGGGTTTCCTAAATTCTCCCAAAATAAATATTTAGGTGGCGACTCTGTATTTGGCAAAGGAGTCTATGTTTGGCACTTCTTTCTAAAAAATCTGTTTTCCAAAAACGATTTGTCGGATTTGGACTCTTTGGTGATTTATCAGTCTTGCATTGCACTTTGCAAGATCAGATTAAGAACCGTGACAATTTGAGTCCGAATTGTAGTGAGCCCCAATGAACAAAACGGGATATTTCCTAGGACGTTCGGGGACGTCTACAGTTTCTGGCGACTCCGCTGGGGAGTTATAGAACTTGGCTCGAACTCATGATATCTTGTTTTGTTCACACTTATGTGTTTCTTTGCATTGCATTTGCATTGGTGCGCCTAGGACACCATGTTTGCCGTATACTATTCTTGAACGGTTTGCCGGAGGCTCGCTTCGAGAAGCGTGCCATAAGGCTGACCGGTTGCGGGCTCTGCCACGTCGGGAACACAAACCTCGATTTTCACTGGGGCACCATTTTGACCATTCGATCTAGTGCATATTCGGAATCCATAGTGACCATTCCAAGCTAGGACAGGTTGCTTACCCGATTATAGGTTATTTGAAACCGCTGTGTGCGTAGTGAAACCCTAGCTCCTAAAAGGTAGGACAGGGAAACCTTACCCCAACATAGGGGTATTTTGGCTCTCACTTGCTTGTTATGTGTTTTTAGGGTGTGTCTCTACAGGAATGCATGTATCAGTTTGCAAGTCTGGGTATCAGGCCGCGGGCATGAGCATCAGTATTTGGGGGATCAGTTTTACCCGAGGGTATCAGATTTGAGGCAGAACTTTGGGGCAGAATTCAGTAAAGAGTCACATCTGTTTTGATGAAATCAGGCTGAGATGCTGTCTATTTTCTCTTTTGCTAAGTAGTCTTGGAACCATAGCTTCAGAAGGGTCTGATATCCCCCGGGTACTCTGGACCTGTGTTGTTATGTGATCGGGGGATGAACCACTTGCTGTCGGTGCTCAGTTTACTCCAGATGTGATGGATGACACCCACTATTTTGAGAATTTGCGAATGCTGTTTATCCTACTTCCTGACTTGGGTATTGAGTCGATCTTGTTGTATCGAGTTAGTCCTGTTGAGTCTGTCTTGTTGTATCGAGTTAGTCCTGTCGAGTCAGTCTTGTTGTATTGAGTCAGTCCTGTTG